TACAGCTAGTAGTTAACCTTAGAAGATCACACAGCATGCGCGCGCATACGTGAAACAGAATATTGCTACAGGCTAAGGCTAACACTAATAGAAAGATCAACGCACGCATATACGCGCGTACACATGGACAGAATATTGCTACAGGCTATAATTAACACTAGAGAAAGATCACACACGCATACACGAATATTGCTACAGGCTATAGTTAAGACTATAAAAAGATCACACACGCATACGAGCGTTTACATGAACAGAATATTGCTACAGGCTATAGCAAGGTACGAGGCGGTAACCCTGGAGGTAATTTGGCCCCAGGAGTGTATACGTAGCTAACAGATTTGTCTTGAGGGTGCAAAGCCACGTGCGGCTTGTGTTCTTCGCAGTTGATCGTGGGTCGCTTGCCATTGCCTATGTAATAGTATCAGGAGTGTATAATATAGACTGATTATATATATATATGCATATATATATATATATATGCTATATATATATATATACACCTATTATTATATACTATACTATAGATGCTATATTACTATTATATAATTATATATACTGTATAATACACTCCTGGTAGTTACTAAGTATCTACAATGATCTGGCTCGTGTAACTGCCCCCCCCCCTCCGCCGCCCGCTCTCAACCACGCTAGAGCTACGGCATAGGTCACGCCACCCAAAGCCATCACTAATGGGTCACCACTATACAGGTTATTAATTAGCCAAGCATCGTAAATTAACCCCCGTCTAACCCCGACGATACCGCGGTTATTGTATTATTATAATAATGATATTGGTGTATTGGTAAAATAATAATATGACGCAAGCTATTTAACCTTTTTTTATGCGGGCAAGAAAGAAGGCCTGTGTGTAGCAAATTCATCAGAATCACCGGCAAAACAGCGAGATGTGCACAGTAAATTAACCACGATAGATCAGAAGCACCGACGAAACGACATAACCAGCAACACTAACAATAGTCCGCTAGCTTTGATCTTGCATATAGCCGACATTAATACTTTTTCTCTCAAGTGGCAATAATCGCAGCCCTGTGCGAGTGGATTAGACCTACATGTTGGAATAATGTTGTTAACACACGGAACAAAAGCACACACTCGAGATCTGTGCCCGGTAGATTTGATACAACGCTGCATTGTAAGCAGCGAGTTGCAACAACTAACGAGCTTTTAATGCTGGCTGTGATGCACACACCCGCGTCATGCACGTCACGACGCGTCAAATGCAACGTTATACCACACCGCGTGACGTCATGGCAAACACACTACACGCCGCGGTCTGCAAGACGGTAGCACACACACGCGTCAATGCAGACACACCTCGTGCATATGCACCACGTCGCTCATCACAGCATGCACCACCCCGCGTCAATGCACACGCACGACTCGTGCATCAACACGCGTCTATGCACGACACCTCCGCGTCATGCATACACACGCGTCATGGCACACACCGCCAGCAACAGCACTCAGTCCTGCGACACACACGTCGTCATGGAAACACACGCGGTCATCCGCCGAACACCCGCAGAATACTCACATGCATACACCACCGCGTCCATCCCACACCACGGCGTCAAAATGCAAGACACACTCGTCATGGGGACACACACCTCCGCCCCACGCGTCTAGCAGACCCGACGTCATGCACAACAACTCCGCCCGCGTCATGCAACGAGCACAGCGCGGTCATGCACGCACCCACGGGTCATGCACACACCGCGTCATCATACACACGCCGCATCATGCACGACACAGCGTCAGTGCATACACACGCGTATGTCACACAACCGCGTCATGCACACACACCTTCAGACAACGTCGTCAGGAACACACTACACAGCGTCATGCATGATACACACACACATCACACACCACACACACACCACCACACACACACACACACACCGCCGCCCGCGCGCGCGTTTATGCACTCACGTACGCCGTTCATGCCCACACACGTGTCATGCAGACACACGCGTCTGCACATACACGCTTCATGCACACACACGGCGTCAATGCACACACCGGTCTGCACACGACACGCGTCATGCAGCACAACAAGCGTCATGCACACACACGCGTCATGGCACACACACGCGTGCATGCAGCCACACGCTTTCAACACATGCGCGCAGGTTACATACATCACGCCGTCATGAATCACACACACACACACACACACACACACAGACACGCACGACACACACACACGCGCGTGCATGCAACAGCAACGAACGCTTACACCGCGTCATACACACACACACCCACACACCACACACAACACACGAACACACACACCACACCCAGAAGACAGTCACTGCGCACATCACCGAAGTGTGGCGCGTGTGGTAACGGATAGGTGCTGCGATGCGTCAGCGCGTGCCGCGGCCGACGTCTTACGTCGGGGTCGCATGACAAGTCAACTCTCCCTCCGAAGGATTCAACGGCGGTAAACATATAAAATAAAGGTGCGTGCGCGCGGCGGCAGCGGTGTGGTTAGGCATGGGTGGGCTTTTAGGTAAATTGCCGTCCGCGCGGTCGCGGTGGTGTTGTTGTTGTTGTTGTTGTTATGCGCTGGTTCGCGCGTGCATATTCGCTCTGAAGCAAAAATCATTCGGTTCAAACGCGAGGAAATCGTATGTGTGTGTGGTGTGTGTGTATGTGTGTTTGTGTGTGTGGTGTGTGTGTGTGTGTGTGTGTGTGTGTGTGCGTGTGTGTGTGTGTATGTGTTGTGCGTGTGTGTATGTGTGTGTGTATGTTGTTGGTGCGTGTGTGGAGTGGTGTGTGTGTGTGTGTGTGTGTGGTGTGTGTGTAGGTGGTGTTATGTGTGTGGGTGCGTGTGTGTGTATGTGTGTGTGTGTGTGTGTGTGTGTGTGTTTGTGTTGTGTGTGGGTAGGTATGTGTGTGTGCGTGTATGAGTTGTGTGTTGTGTGTGTGTGTGTGTGTGTGTGAGTGTGTGTGTGTGTGTGGTGTGTGTTGTGTGTGGTTGAGAGCGCGCCTAAGTTTCCGCACAGGATTTGAATAAATGATGAAGAAACGCTCGCTGAGTGATAATCCTCGTTTTTGAGGCTAATAAAGAAGGAGTTCGAGAGAGAGAAGACAGAGCAAGATGAGAGAGAGAGAGAGAGACGAGTTACCAGAGGGGGAGAGGG